TTTTTTTCAACTTCATTTGTTATTTGTATTTAAAATGACTTTTTAATTACAAAATTAAAAATAGCCAAGAAATTTTGAAACAGAATACAGAAAATATTATACGTTGATCTGAACTCTCCAGTACTTAGATTCGCAGTTGAATGCAAACCGGGTCTGAAAATAAATCACATATGGACCCGGACCCAGGCCCGGACCCGGGTGATATCAAATTTCTAGATCCGGACTCGGGTGGCATTAATTTTCTGGACCCGGACCCTACCGGCTCCGGATCTGGACGGACCCGCTACTCTCTAAAGTTGATTATTAATATTTTTCCAATTTTATATGAAAGTACAAGAAAGAATTGGTTTGAAATTTGAAAATAATTTGCCACTATTGATCTGATGGAGAAAAAGATATAATATTTTGAATTACAGTATAGATTTCAAGTAAATCAAAACAAATGATTGTGATTTTTTCTGAGAGAAAAATATATAAATATACTCATAATTCACTCTACTTTTCTCGAAAACATTTGACATTATCAATAATCTCGACATTAATCAATGATTAGTTTTTAGTAATATTTCAAAGTGAAATGAAATAGTCTAAAAACATCTTTTTTTTCCAAAGTCTACTGATACTAATTTAAGATTTGCTAAACTATTGAAAATGAAATTACTCACTTGTCAATAAGTTCTTTATGAGAAAGACCTTTATTGACTGCTTGTTGGAGTTGTTCAGCAATGTTAGCCATCAAATATCTGAAATAAAAAAAATTTAACTTGTTTATTTTGTTTTTAACAATAAAGTTAGCAAGAGTAAAATTATTCGTTCGATCCATCAAAAGCAACATTAGCCTCGGGTTCAACATAAAAAACTCCTTCATTAACATAACGTCTGAATTTTAAATAGTTAACATTTCCCATTGCTAATTTAGCTTCTTCACTATTTTGACAAATCGATTGAATTATTGAAAATTTTGTTTCTTTTCCTTCTTTATCTTTTTCTGTTGAACGATTAAGAATAAATTCAATAAAACCAGGTTCAGCATTCATAGCACGTAATGCCCATGGTGATCGTGTTAATTCAAATAAACATCGATAAGCAGCAAGACGTAAATCAACAAATGGTTGTTTAGCTATTTGAATAATAATCGGTAAAATAGAAAATACTCGATTACATAAATTATAAATTTGTTCTGTGAGAGACCAAGCATTTGATGATGAACTATTATATGTTGATATATGAAATAAATCAGCAAGACAAGCAAGACAACGAATACTAAAATTAGAAAAGAATAATTATAATAAAAAGATTTCGGTTTTTTTTTTGAAAGTTATACCGAATATCCGATTGAGATGAACGTATCATTTGAACTAATTTTTCAATAAAATCACCGAATTTAGCATTTGAAAGAAAATATTCTTTTCCATTTAATGTTTTACCAATGAATCCAACTGTATCTAGGCAAGTGAACAGAAAAACATTTCAAAATAAATATTTAAATAATCTCTAATTTCGAAAGAAAAATATGTATCATTCAATCTCGATGAGTTCTTGGAAATGCTCGGAACAATGGGATGATTGAAGAGAAAAGTTCCAGAGACGTCTCATTTTGTAACTGAAGTCAGTCGTTATAGTTCCATCTTCTCGATCTAATCATTGCTCAAAGTTCTGCTAGATGAATTCTTCAATAAAATCTTGAAATCATAATCTTAGTGATAAACTACTCCTAACGAGAACCATAGATAACTAATTGTCAATAAAATTTTATAGACATAAACATTAACTTAATAGAGAATATTTAAAAATGCTAATTTAACATTACAATTTGATTGTTTTTTTTTTTTTTTGAATGATGAAATATATTGCTTACCTAAACCAATAACAATGTAAGGACTTGAACTAGATTGAAGAAGAATATCAAAAAGAATTGGTAGAAATCGTTCAAGTAATTGATTTTGTTGATTAATTGATGTATTCGTTTCAAGTAAAACAAGATAATTACGTAAATAACAACCAAAAAATTTAATAAAACCTGGTTTAAGTAAATCATATGAACTATTTTCATCATTTGTTGATAATAATAAATGTAGATAATGATCAATAACATTTGTTTTATTTTGTAAATAAGTCAATGTATGAGATTTTTGTGTTAATACAGTTAATAATTCTAAACAATTCATCAAATATAATATATCCGTATCACTATGTGTACAATCATATAAAAATTGATCAAGTAAATGTTGTTCTTCTGTAATATGTTCATAAATACGTGGATCAATTAAACATAAATCAATTAAATATTCATATAAACGAAGTTTAACAATTTCATTACGTTTATTTGATGAAAGTAAAATTTGTCTATTAATATCATGAAAATAATTTTCATGTAAATAATTTTCAAATATTTTTTTATCATCAATACGACTAACAGTATGAATCATTTGTTCAAGAATTTCTTTTGATTTTAACCATAATGTTTGTTCATCACTATCAAGAAAAAGATGAAGTAGTGCATTTATATGAGAATATTGAAATAAATTTTGTATAACAAAAAAACATTCAGTTGTTGTACAACGAGTTAATTTTTCAAATGCTTTTAAACATAAAAGTTTTCCTCGTTGAGATAAACCTGTTTGATTATCAAGACCAGTATTTAATAATGGATGAAAATTCGTCATTATTTGTTCAATAGATAGATTATTTATAAAATGTTCCATTATTGCACATAGAAGACGTTCAACTTCATCATTTTTATTTGTTCGAAGTAAATCAAATAAATTTGACCATGGAATATGTTGATGAACTTGTTCAAATTGAATCGATGATGATATATTTGATATTTCAATATGAATACGTTCGAGTAATTCAATATATTCAACATTTTTCGATGTGATCAAAAGATCCTCGAAAAGACGAAGTAAATTACTATTCTGCATCTAAAATTATAAATAATACAAATATGTACAAAAATGATTATTATTTATGCATAAATTTAAAACTATAGATGTAAATAAGTTCTCCATAATTAATTCAATTTTCAATAAAACTCTCTTTGTGTATTTAGATCATTTTTTTATGATTAAAATTTTAGAATAGGAGTTAGGTGAACGAATAGTTTTTTTTGTGACATTGATAACGGAAGCAAGAATTAAATAAATTTAGTATTGAGAAAAACTATAAAAAGGAATTTTACTATGGTACCATACGAAAAATATTTTCAACTTCCCTAAAATTTTTATCATGACAATTATGTATATTAAAATTAAAACTTTGAAAAAGAAAATAAAGTTAAGAATAAAAAAACAAATAAAATATTTCTTTCAATAAAAATACAATTTCTATGAGAAAATAAATTATTCAAAATGCATATTGAAAATCATCTAAAATATGTTTTTTTTAATCTTTGATTGAATCATAAATTTTTTCCGATAATATTTATGTTCAATATTGTATATATTACGGTTTGGAAAAGTTCGCTGTTTTATGATTAATCATCACTAATTCATTTGAATAGTTGAATGATGGATATGAAATAGTAATTGACTAACAACTCATATTAAGATACAGTAGCACACATCCATAAATAATCAATTTCATCGACAATATATATTACATTAGTTCAGATGATGTTAATATTGAGTAATTTTTTGTCAAAAAATAAAGTTTTCTTAATAAAAAGCAAATATCTGAAATTAACGAGAAGAAATGCCTTTTTTTCGAAATTGACTTTATATAGGTTTAAATTGATTGTCAATTTTATTAATTTATTTATCACATTTTTCCATATATAATTTTCTAGTAACTAAAATAAAAATGATAGATTTTTAGTTTTAATAGTAAATAGTTTTAATCTTAAAATCATTGTGTATTTCGCGTTCTAAGTTTTTACGATCTTTTTTTTCTTCAGACATTCAAAATTTTCAAAGATTTCTTTTGCACATATAAAAACAGTCATAATTTTACAGAATTTTTTTTGCGTAATTTGTAGGATCTCGTTCGACAGAAAATTCTGTTTTGAAAAGAAAATACTGCGCAAGATCCTTTTTCTTGTTCTTCTAATACTCTCAACCGTTTTTAAAAATAACACACTCGAGCTACAAACTGCTCATAAAAGAAAAGAACTTTGAAATTAAAAGATCTTATTCTATTTGAGAGTGTATATTAAGTTTAGGGCAGCCATATAATGGTAGAACATCATCTAAACTTCAAAAAAAAAAATAATAATAAAACGAAGCAAGTTGAATTTTTGATTAAAAAGCCAATGGTTCGATTTGAAGTTTACTTAACAAAAGAATATGTCTTTAATGAATCTATAGAAGATTTTTGTCGCTTTCATCTTTGAAAATAAGATATGCAAGATGATTGGACTTCTGGATACAATCACACGAAGCCATTGAATGATCAATCATTGCAGCAAAATTATTTGAAGAAAAGGTTTCATTGATTCTCATTATCTCCAGCAAACATTTTGGCAAAAAAAAACCAACTAGTTAAGCGTATGCGTAGAAAAAGTGTGGGCTTCGTAACGAAATATACAGTACATCTTTTTTCAAAAAGAATCAAATTGTTCGAACGAAAGCTAACAAAAACATATAAAAAAATACACAGAGTACCATAATATTATGGTACATTTGTTAGATTTACCAAAGATCGACATGTTTTTTTTTACATATAATTGATCAATTCGTTCGGCATAAAGTTTTTAAGTTTGCTTTGTTTTTTCAATTGAACGTAAACGATATTCATTGAATTCTCGAATCTAAAAAAAAAAAGAAGAAAAGATGATAATAATAAATAATATTAAAATAGTAAAATCCACATACTATTTCATTATGTTGAATTTTAAGATCGTTTAATTGTGTAGCTAAATTATTCGCATGCTCTTTTGTTTCAACAAGTTGGAGTTTTGTTGACGTTAAGTCGTTATTTAACGATTCATGATGTTCACGATCCACAGTTTTATTTGCAATAGTTTTCTGAAAAATCTAAATAAACAATGTTTAATGAAAAGCTATTTTCATGAAATTATATTTACTTCAATTTCTTTTTTATGTTGTTTTTGTATTTTTTCAATTTCTTTTTGTTGTCTAAGACTAATATTCTTTCTTTCGTTTATAATAGCTTCATGGATTCTTTTCTCAATTTCTTCTTCTTTGTTCGGTAGTTCTTTTTTCATTGTTCTTAATACTTCAGCTAGTTTAATTTGAAGTTTTTCATCATTCTCTTTTTCAAGGGTAACCTAGAAGTATAAATAAAGTATTTCGATGATACAAAAAAAAATGTGAAAACAAATAAAAATAAGTTTTTACTTTATATGTATGAAATGATTGTTTTAGAAATTCAAGTTCATTTCTTAATTGTTCTTCACGTTTAAGACTTTGTGTTTGTTCTTCATTTAATAATTTCAAAAATTTGTTTTCTTGTTCTTTCAATTTCTTTTTATGATCAAGCAATTGATGCTGTTGTAATTCTTGAAATCGTTTCTCTTGGTCTTGTAATTGATTGAAAAGTATTTCTTCAGCCTAGATGAGTACATTTTTCTTCTGTTAAAGAAATAAAAAGGCGCAATAAAATACTTTGATCTGTGTTTGTTTGTGTTTCAGACGTTCTTCAGCTAGTTGTAATGTTATTTCATTCATTTCTTGATATAAATGATCAAAATGTGTTGGAATTTGTCTAGGAAAAGAAGAACATCTACATGAGAAACAGACAGAAAAAACAAAATTAATTTGTAAATGAAGAAAAAATAGGTCTTTTTTTCTTACTGAGAGTTTTCATCGAAATTCGAACATTCACTGAGTGAATTAATCAAATCCTTGTTTAAAATTGTGTCAACATCTGATTTATTTTGCTTTATTGTTAATTCTGGTTGTTTTTTAGTCTATGAAAGAAAACTGCATTCGGAAAATATATTCTTTCAATATGCAATAATATACATAGAAAAGTCGTTGCCATGGTTCAGGTTTAAGTTTTGTCAATGGAAGCCGATATGGTACAACATGATTCAAGCAAGAACTGCTGAGAAGTACTTGATTAATAGAAGATGGTGGACTAAATTAAAAAAAGGAGTACAGAATTCAATATATTTGCAATTCAATTGTAATAAACTAACCTAATACTGGATGTTGATCGACCTAATGGAGTATTTGAATGCAGTTGTCTATTAGCGAATAGTCTTAATAAATAGAGATCTTTGTTTTATAATGTAAGAGACAAAAAAATGATTCCTACACAGGTAAACCTGTTCCTTGTTTCATTTTTAATATGTTATTCAAGGTAAAAGAATGAGGAAAAATGTTATATGCTCAGATGTATGCAAGCCCTTAAGCTGTTTTGTCAGTTACTTATATATATTTGATGGGGTGCAAACATTGAATAAATTAAACAAAAAAGCAGAACATAAAAATGACCGAGAGAACAGAATAAATGCATTACATTAAGTGACGGGCGTTAAAAAAATAATAGATGGATGGTTGAGTAACATAGTAAGTAAATACGAACAAAGAAACTTTGATTTGCAGATTCAAAACACTTGAAATTTTAGAATTCAAAATATGAAAGTATGTTAAAATTGATTTAAAAATTTGTTCGAAATGAATCTACTCAGGTACGTAACTGATGGGAGGTACATGGGACATGACATTCCCGCTTCTGAAATTCGTTCACACAACGCTCCGTCCGCTGCTTTTGAAAATTTTCTACATAGCTCTCGTTATTCTAGAGCTCGACCAAGTTGCACTAGACATGCATTAAACTCAAACCGTTTTGGAATTTGGATTCTGTACTAAAAGTCATCGAACGATTTAAGTTTGAGAGTTAGCCCATTTTTACTTATGTTATTTTCTTGCAGAGATGCATCAATTCTAATTCTTCGACGAGAGTAGACTTGGCTAGAATTGAAATTGAAACTGTTGCATTCTTGGAAGAAAATAACATAAACACATATGAGCCTGAGCTTAAACCGTCGAGTACAAAATTTTCGAACTTGAGCCCAGTCTATTGAAGTTTTTCGGGTCCACTCGAACCGTAATTTGATATTTCCAGTGAAAATTTCTAATTGAAATAGGATAGTCGACTCGAAGATATGAAATATTATTTTTCGGTTTTTTATATTCGGTCACTGGATGCATTCTATACTTTTCTCAGACGAGTCGTCTGAGAAATGTGTAAAGTAGAGCCCTGTGAGTCTAGGATCCATTCGACGGACTCTAATGTCTACTCTGCATCTTCCTACTTTGAGTGCTGGATTATGCTGCTAAATTTACTCTATATTTTAAGCGAAATAATATTGTTTTCAATTAAATGATTATAAAAATCTCATAATTGCTTTGTTCTTATTTATTTTGAAATATATTCCAAGAGTCTCCAATTGAATGAAATCGGCATCTAGATGTCAGATTTGTACATTTCTTTTCTATTAATTCAATATAACAACAATTAGAAATTGATGTGTGAAATACTTAACGAAATTTTGAAGAAAAAAAACACATTGATAGTTATCTTTTATTGATCCGTTGGAAAATGAATTGAGATAATTTCCAAGTAAAACATCGATATAAATGCTTTATAAAAATGTCAATTGATTGAAATAAATACCTGTTAGTTTCATCGACAATAAAGCGAAATTTAGCTGTGGCGAATGCTTTTCATCTCGACAATTTCCAAGCTTACTATAATTTAAATTTCAACAACTAGTTTCAACATTAAGACAAGATTAATAACCAATCAAAAACAAGCATTTGACCTCCAAAAAATACTCGACTAAAAATTAGAAATGTTGAGTTTCTTTTTAATTAAAAGTTTTAAAAAATACATTTATTTAATTATTACAATAAATAACAAAAAAAAAACAATAATGATGACTTATAATTGGCTGATAAATATATTCTATTATGACGACTCATGATTAAGTCAATTTCAGTTTATTTATTTCTGCTTTTCTTCTATCAACGTCTCAATTGCGCTATTGTTTATTAGTTACTCAATACATTTCCAAATACACATAATCCAATTTTTATACTTTATTTTATAGATTTTATGTTGCTTTAAACTATTATATATGGTGCAAAAAATGCCAATGGTCACCGAGCCGGCCCAAACCAAATTGACGGAAACGCCGCTCGAACCCATCGGTCCATTGGATACAAAAGCCGTGCAACCTCTTGTAAGTTACTTATATTTTTATTCTGAATATAATTTTTAAAACTATTTATTATATTTTAATAGCCTAAAATGAGCGAAGGTTGTCGTGTACCTGTTTATATGGATATTCAAAAGACTTTCGGTAAAAAAGACAAGAATAAATATACAGAAAAAATAAAAATCATGTTTAAATTTTTTTTTAGTACCAGCTGAAATAGTTAGTATACGTGAACTTGATGGCGTTTATGAATTTTATATTCATTATGTCAATTTTAATCGACGTCTTGATGAATGGGTTACTGTTGATAAAATGAATTTAAAAGAATTAGCTCCTCCTGCATCATCAAGTTCATCCTCATCAACTTCAAATAATACTTCTCAAGAAATACCTATCACAACTCAACCACGAACAGTTCCACCAAGTACAACAACAACAACAACAAAAAATACTAGTGCATCGAGTGAAATACCATCTGGAAATACAACAACATTTTTTCTTTCTGATGATGCTGATTCATTAAATAGTGATTTATCACGTGCAGCCACTCTTCCATCATTAACAAATTTTTCGGCAGCAACATCAGCAACAATAGCACCAACAAAAGCACGAGGAAATGGAAATACTCATCAAAGTGGTGTACATTCAGTTACAAAAGTGAAAAATATTAATTTAATACATCTTGGAAGATATTTTATTAAACCATGGTATTTTTCACCTTATCCAGAGGTAAATTTATTGTTGCATACAAAGAATGATCATTCATAGAAAGAATTTTCAGAGGAACTCGGAAAGAAATTTGTAGCAAAATTAAGAATGTGCAGGTTCAGTTTACTGACTACACAGACATACGGCCACCAGCATTCATTGAAACATAGGAACATTCCGCTATTAAAAAAACAAGGTGTATGCTAATAGAATTAATGTCTCAATATTGGAGCGAACGAGGATTTCCATGTAGTCAGTACACATTCCTAATAAAAACTGAATGTTGAATTCAATTAATGAAAACATATTCAGAAATTCATCTTGCAGAATTAACGTATAAGATCTTTAAATAGTGACAAATTGATTGCATAGAATATATTATTACCTGATCTCGTTTGCATAGATACCAGTAAAACTATTCTATAGAGCTGAAAATTTTGTTATTACTATTGGTTTGACAATTTTAAATGACGAGTTTTGTTTATTAAATAACTATTCAATTTCTTTTTTTTTGTTAATACAGTTCTCTTTTTTAACTAAGCAAAAACTTGTAATTTATTAAGCATCAAGTGATGGGAAAGTAAACAGCAAGGAGTAACTGTATGTAAACTTTTTTTTCTGAGAGTAGTTAATAAATAGCTAAAACCTTGATTCTTCATTTGCTCATGTACACAAAGGCTGTCAAATATTGGTAAAAAAGAAAAACTCAAGTCCCGGGTCCACGAAAAACGTCTACTCGTAGTTCCATAATAAGAGTCAGACAGTCATCTATTATCTCAATAGTTTAAAATCGATTTCTATTGAGATGACTGTAAAATATTTCCATCGGTGGAAACTAGTGTGGTTTGATAAATTTGATTTTATGTTTTTCTTTTAGGAATTTACAACATGTCCAGTTGTTTACATATGCGAATTCTGTCTAAAATATTGTAAAGATCTTGATGCACTTAAACGACATCGAGTAAATTCGATACTTATTACTTTTTGTTTTATTTTTTATTTTTTTTTGTTTTAAATATTTTAAAGACAAAATGTACTTTAATTCATCCACCTGGTAATGAAATTTATCGTAATGGTACAATATCATTTTTTGAAATTGATGGACGAAAAAATAAATCTTATGCACATAATATGTGTTTGTTAGCAAAATTATTTCTTGATCATAAAACATTATATTATGATACAGATCCATTTATGTTTTACATATTAACAGAATTTGATGCACAAGGTTTTCATATAGTTGGTTATTTTTCAAAAGTAAATTATTTTCTATAATGATAAAAGAAAGAATATTTACTTTTGTCTAGGATAAAGAATCAAGTGAAGATTATAATTTATCATGTATTTTAACTTTACCACCTTATCAAAAAAAAGGCTATGGACATTTTATGATTGAATTTAGTAAGATTTATTTTATTTTTAAAATAATTAATGAATATTATTATTCTATTTGAAGGTTATACTCTTTCAAAACTTGAAGGTAAAATTGGTACACCTGAAAAACCATTATCTGATTTAGGTTTATTATCTTATCGTCGATATTGGTCTGAAGCAATATTACAAGCATTATTAAAACATAAACCAAAAGATGGTGAAACAGAATATCCATCACTTTCTATAAAGTATATTTTATAAAATATTTATAATAAATTCTTTATTTATTTATTTATTTACGTAATAGTGATTTAAGTGAAATAACAGCTATTAAAAAAGAAGATGTTTTAGCTGCTCTTCAAAATTTAAATATAATACGTTATCAACAAGGTTCATATGTACTATCAATAACAAAAGATTTATTTGATAATTATCAAGATAAACGACGTTTACGTGTTGATACAAAAAGTTTATTTTGGACACCAAAAATAACAACTAAACCAATAAATCAATTTCAAACAAAATAATTAACAACAAACTTTGTGTTCGAATAGAAAAAAGCGAGAAAAGCAGTTTTTTTTGTTAATCTATATATTGTACAGAATACTATATACGTTTGTTTTTGTTTCTTATTCGAACCTATTTTGACCCTTGTAGATTGATTTTGTGTATTCTATTAATATATAAATATCCATCATTTGCGCATAGATGTGGTTTTTATTGTTGCAGTAAGATTGATTGTTTGATATTAAATACACTTATCTTTGGTAATTAGCTTCAATATGAAACCAAATTAACAACTCATGAGTAATAGATAAATATATATTGATATAAAAGAGTTTTATAATAGTACCAAGATAAGAATCTGAATATCGAGTTGAAATTTATGTTATCAATATTTTTACAATATGAGATTTATACGTAATGTTTAGACGTGGACAAGATCGTCCTGTTGAAACTGGGACCAAGACCAAGAGTTTTTTTTTTCATTGAGACTGATATCCTTTATGGTCTGGCAAAACTTGCATCAAAAGTCATGTTGTCACGACTGATGTGTTTCTAAAAAAAATATGGATACGATCGTTTTGGTTCGTGGGGACCGAAACTACGACCAAAAAAAACCAGTTTCGCTCACGTCTAGTAATGTAGATTGGATCAATTACGAAAGCTATAGATGGACTATTTTCTATAGCAGCTATTCAGAATCTCAATCATAGATTTTAAATCAAATGTTTGATTGTATCATTATCCCTTCATCAGAGCTTTCGCATTATTAGAAAATTTTAAAAAAATATGTGTTTGCTACTTTTAACAAAATAGATTTTCTTACTTTAAAAAATTTCTTTCTATTCATAATTATATAATTATTTTCAATATTTTAGATTTTTTTCTGTCATTACGAGATGCGGACATCTAAAACTCGATCATCATTAAACACATCTTCAACAAATAATGATTCTTCTTTTCGATGGCAACAATGTTCGCAATGTTTAAAATCGATACCTAATAATTCTGATAATCATCAATGTTCAGATGAATTAAATGGTTTATTTGTTGAACATAATCGAGCAAGACTTCTTATTCAAGAACATAAATCTGGTTTGCCAAAAGAGAAAAAGCAAAAAAGCAAAAATTTGTTTTTTTTTCATTGTAGACTATTTCAAAGATTTAACATTTCCTTCATTTATGCATACAGATATTATATTTATATCTCCGGAAACTATGCGTCTTCTTCGAGATATCCATCGAAATGATCATATTCTTCTTATATCAACAACAAAAGATCAACAACGAACATTAAGAATAGGTTTACTTTGGTCAAATTCACTTCTTGCTGATAATCAAGTTGCTATTAGTCGCACTGTGATTGATCAATTATCTGAACAACAAATGATCGAACTTCGAGCAATTCCAAAAGATCATATTCTAGACACGGATAATGTTACATTAAGGTATAATGAATTTGATAAAGTTACTTTTACCAGTATATTAATTTTCTTCAATTTTTTTTTGTGCGAGATAAGTTTTCTAGATTATCGACTAATAAGGTTTATAAGAAGTTTCTTAGTCATTTTAAATCATCTTTATAAAATTACTTGAAGTATCATTTGACAACTGACGTGTTGTTCTCTTAATTCATGTAACTGTTGTTCATTCAATTTCATAATAACAGAAATTACAATAAAAACTTTCATTGCTTCAAGAACTATGATTTTCTATTGAAAATTGATATTTTTTTTTTCGAAATTTATCAAATATTATCAAGAAAATTTTATTCTTCAAGAGATAGTTGATTGTTTCAAATCATCAGTATCTACTCTAAGGCATGAAATCATATGCTTTGAAGCATATGGTTTCATGCCTGGCAGTAGATGCCGATCATTTGAAACAATAGTTATGTGTGGGGAATCATATGAAATAAAACTTCCAAGAATATTCTATGAAACGATGAAAAAATTAAAGGATTATTGCAGTTTTGTGTTCTGACTGACTTTTGTAATACTCAGTATATACAAAATGAACTACTAACCATTTTCTAGAGCGAATTAAAACAATAATTTTTCACATTGTAGAGCAATTACTCCATGTGAATCACGTAGTACAAATGAACGCCGTTTAATCACAATATGTCTAAAGCATCAATTAGGTGTGTGTACTATTTTTGTTACTTACTAATGTTAATACTTTTTTTTATATAATGTAATTTTTGTAGTAAATCGAATTGTTTTTGATGAACAACATATAGATTTTGTTTATCTTGGTCAATCAATTATTTTTCGTATTGAAAAAGCAACTGATGATATAAATCTCATTGATTCACTTCATTCTCTTTCACTTGATAGTAATCTTCCAAAGTTTTATCGAATTTATCCATTAACAACTTCAATTAATATTCATTTTGAATCTACAACAATGAATAATAATAATATTCAAGTTAAATCTATTTCATTATCAGATATTGGTGGTTTAAAAAAAGAAAAATCTGATTTAATTGATCTTCTTGTTACATCAACAACAAATTATATTCCACCACGAGGAATTCTTCTTCATGGTCCAAAAGGATGTGGTAAAACAATGCTTATTAATGCAATAGCTCATGAAATTTCAGCAACAATCATTCGTATAAATCCATCTGATATATATAGTCGACATTATGGTGAAAGTGAAACAAAACTTAAACATCTTTTTGCGCAAACAAATATAACAAAGAATAATAATCTTAAGAAAAAGTATTTACTTATTGTTGAAAATATTGAAAGTCTTTGCCCTAATCAAGAACGTATAACACAACAATTAGAACGAAGATTAACAACAACATTTATTGAATTATTAGATCGATATTTAGATGGAAAAAATATTTTTTTAATAGCAACAACAAATCGACTTGATTCAGTTGATACAGATATAAGACGTCCAGGTCGAATTGATGAAGAAATTGAAATTGGAGTACCTAATCAACAGGATCGACTTGAAGTAAAAAGAAAACTTTCAGCAGTTTTTTCTTTAATTTATCACGACTAATTTAAATAATATATGTTTTTTTTTGCCAAGATTTTACAAATTAAACTACAAACAATATCAAATGATCTCAATGAAGAACAATTAAAACTCATTGCAGAACGAACACATGGTTTCAGTGGATCTGATTTAGAAAATTTATGCAGAAAAGGTAAAATTCTTTCGAATGTTTCTAGAGAACGGCTCATTAGAAAAGTTTGAAATTTTCAGGACAGATAGATTTTGACGAGTAAAGCAAAACTTATCCAATATTCAAAGTTCTCGGATATTGCCTTCTATATAATACTGGAATTACAATGGCGAAAAATGGTTTCCCATTTTTTCTGAGATGCTATGTTCGATTGAACTGAAAAGTTTTTGACAAATACTAGACACTGTTAGGAGTAGATATCCTTGTTTTCTATTCTTTGACTCAGTAGACAGATACTAATTCAGACTATATAATAGCCACAAAAAAAAGCAAAAATGAAAACTAACTTTTGGATCACAAGAGGAAACAGATACCCCTGAATAGAAAACATGATTGATTTAATACAAAATTAGATTCTTTTTATTGTATATATCAACATGTTTTGTAATTAGGTAGTACATGTACTAAGTCTGTGGTGCGAAGCTCATCCGTAAACTGAACTCATGATTTATAAGATAATAAAACTGTTGAATTATACGAAATATAAAATTCAGCGAAAAAAATAACATGTTTCTATATTGTACAAGGTACGATAATGAGTTTAATACATGTTTAATTATGTACACCACAAATTGGGCTTTGTGATAATTGAAAATCAATAGATACTGTATCAAACACACATAAAAGTCTAAGTACTCTTGGTGTACGAGGGTTCTTGACTAAGTTTCTATTGATTCTTTTTAATCTCCGACTCATTTTGACTTTCTGTCACTGAGAAATAAAATGTAGCTGTCAAGAAGATCTTCCATGTGACGAAAATTTTGCAAGATAGCAGCTACACTCAGTATGTCTATTGAAACTAATTTTTATTAAGTCGTAGTCACCAGACTTCGGCAAAGTCTTTACTGCAAAACTTTTGTAAAAAATATTTCATTCAAAATACTTAGTAAAAGCTGAAAAACTTTAGGAATATGTTTGACTGGAAACGTTTTCTGGATGCTACTGGGAATTAGAAGAAAATCTCTGTTCACTAAAAACAGTTCGTTTTATTTTTCATCTCTTGTCGAGTTTTGTAGCGACTAATGAAAAGTGTTCATAGCTAATAAGTCGTTTCGAAAAATAAGAGTTTTTTTTCCAGCAATCCAAGTTAGTGAATCCTTAACAAAAGCACATTATATAAAACTGAATACAGTTTCCCATTAGACACTATGAGAAAAACTTCATTGAGCGTTGTCAAAGTTCAATCAAGTTTTTCATAACACTGTTTTCTATGGAACCTATGGTTTTATAACTCGAATATTTTGATATCACTAGACAGATCACCTCATACGGTTTACATTCATCCATAGCACACCTAAAAATTTCGATAGTTGAGAATAAGTCAAATTGATGAACGGCACTTATTATGACTGATTTTGTGTAAAGTTACAATGCACTCTTTGACTTAAACATTTTCTTAAAAATTCTCCATCTTGGATAAATATTTTAAACTAGCTGTTATTACACAACTTTGTTGTTTCTAACAAGCAAATGACCAAGTCTTGACGACGAGCTATTATCACACTATATTGAAAACAAAATTTGAGTACTTAAAATGGTTCTCTATCATGATCTGTGAACCCAAAACCTCCAATAAAACTGCTTAGGTGAAAATGTCTGGAAAACCAAAACCAGTTTCTTGGTATCTACTTCGAGCATTTTGAAAATCATTTTATTTGATAGAGCAAAGAATTTTTTGCAAAATGAGATGTTTTGGTTCTCTGTATAACGTTTCTTTATCGAACGATATTCAATGTACAGATTTTACCGTTTTTGACGCTTTGAGGCTGTTCTATTAGTTGAGTGCAATTCAATGAAGGAAGATCATATAAAGAATCGAAACATCTTACTTGGTTCAAATTTATTTGCTCTATCAAATAAAATCATTTCCAAAAAACTCCAAATAGATATCAGAAAACTAATTCTTGAAGTGTTGGTTTTCCAGACATCCTCTTCAAAGTAGCTTCATTGGAGGTTTTAGGTTCACCAATGTTGATAAAGAATAAAGAAAATTCCAAAATAGAACTACTTTAAATTTATATCCGCCACTATAATAGTTTTGTAATTTGATTTAAAATTTATTATTATTTTTTGGTTCAATTAGCAAATCATTATGCAAGAAAAACTAAACAATCAAACATAAATTTAAATATAGAACATTTTGAAAATGCTTTAACTGTCATTCGACCAAGTAGTATGCGTGAAGTTATACTTGAAGTACCAAAAGTAAAATGGTCAGATATTGGTGGTCAACATGAATTAAAAAAACGTCTTGAAGAAATGGTTGTTTGGCCATTAAAATATGCTCATGCACTTGATCGACTTAATGTTCAAGTACCAAAAGGTATTTTAATGTATGGTCCACCTGGTTGTTCAAAAACAATGGTTGCAAAAGCTATTGCTACTGAATCAGATCTTAATTTTATTGCTGTTAAAGTTTGTTTATATTATTAATTTTTATTTTATCAAATTTAATTAAAATTTAAATAGGGACCAGAATTATTTAGTAAATGGGTGGGTGATTCAGAACGAGCTGTACGAGAATTATTTCGTCGTGCACGTCTTGCTGCACCAGCAATTATATTTTTCGATGAAATAGATGCTATTGCTAATTCACGATCAAATTCATCGAATTCGTTAGTTTTCTATTTATTATGAAAGCAAATTTCTAACTATTTGTTTTCTTCTCTATTAAAGTCAATCTAATGTCAGTGACCGTGTTATTGCAACACTTCTTATTGAAATGGATGGTATTGAAAAATTAAAAGGTGTAACAATTATTGCAGCTACAAATCGACCTGATTGTATTGATCCAGTATGTAGATATAATTAAAATATGAAAATAACAAAAAAAAAGAAAAAAAAATATCATTTCATATTTCACTTGAAATTCTATAGGCATTGATGCGACCAGGACGTTTTGATCGTCTTGTATATGTTCCATTGCCAGATGATCAAACACGTTTCGAAATCTTTCAAATTCGATTTCGTCATTCACCAATACATTCAAATATTCAAATAGAACGTTTAGTTGAATTAACAAAAAATTATTCAGGTGCAGAAATTACTGCTGTTTGTGATGAAGCAGCTTTAATTGCTTTACGTGATAATATTGATGCTCATCATATTGAATGGCATCATTTTGAACGTGCATTAGCTTCTATTAAACCAAGAACAAGTGATGAACATATACGAAGACTTGATGCATTTACCAAACAACATGGAAAATGAAAGATATTCAAGAATATCACAACAACAAAAATCAATTTGTTAAAGCGAACAATCAGGCATTGATAATATGCATCAATATGAAACATCGAAACTGATCAAAAAACAAAGACCAATTGACGATTACTTTAATAATAGACATAATTCTCTGAAATAAAAGCATTCGTGGAACAACATAAATGCATGTTATAGATTAAAACATATTTCAATTAGAAATAACATAACTTTTAAAAACAAGATCAATAATTTAATTATTGAACAATAATTCTGAAGAAAGCAGACGTGTGAAAATATGTAAAAGTATATTAAAGGAATATTTTCATACATTTTTCCTTATCATCGATAACAAAATCCTTTTGAAACGTACGAATGTACAGTTTATCTACGTAATAATATCATCTCAGTCAATATTCATCAAAGTTTCTTTTTTCATAATCCGATAAAAAAAACTTGTACCATTCTTTTAAGAACTAGCTAGTTTGTCCGAAAAAATGCTCGAATGAAAATGAAACAGGATAATGTACAAAAGAAAAATTAAAAAAAAAATGAGCTACTCATTTTATGATTGATTGACATAAGAAACAATTATTTAATACTTGTTACTTCATTCACGTTCTTTACTTTCATATCCATCTTGTGGAACTTATGCAAGAGTAGTAACAACATTATTTAATAATGAAATTGCACTGATTACAACATTTCTAATCGCATTAACAGTATCAAAAATAGTAGTGACAGCTTCTTGAACAACAGTTCTTGCATTTAATTCATTCTCAATCAGAACTCGAAGAAGATCAGTAAGTATTACTTGGGTGAGATTCGATATTTGTGTTATGTTCATATCATGGACAAAAAAGTCACTTTGTATTCTAATTTAAGTAGTAACTGTTTTAATGAGTTTTTGTAAAGTTAACTGCTTACTGTAAGATTGAGATTAGATACAGAGAAATTGATGTGAAAAAGTGCTGCAAGCGCAATCCAAATGAATAAAACCTATCGAGCCATAAGTATTCGAAAGAGTTGCCATGTTTTTATTGCAAAATGAAGAGAAACGAATAACTTGTGGTTTCGTTGTAGATTGATTAGTAGTTTTCATAGGGAGAAGCTGTGCAGGGGATTGAGGCTTTGAAGACTGTGTGTGAGATTGTATAACGTCATGTGTTGATGAGTAGTTTTGCTAAAAATATTCTACTACGATTTATTTATTATAGCATAATGAAAAATTAATAGGTTATTGAATACAAAGCTATATATAACTTTCGTCATACCTGAAGAAAGATGCGTTGTTATCAATTCTTTTTTCTTGATGGGCGTTAACTTATCAAACGAGTACTTGTTGTCTATCCCTCTTTGGTAACCTTGACTAAAAATATCTTTTGTTTTATTGTGCATTATTTACACTTCAAACCATTGACTGTTATAATATCCTCAATGGTCTATGAATAATGTACTTTACCATAGTGATTTATAGAGGTAATATGAAGACTCTTTCTGTATCCTCAAATTTTCAATCATTATAAATTTTGTGTGTAAGCTATTGAAAATTGTCTTCATTTGAGAAATTCTTGTGCATATTAACTTTATTCGTAGATAAGAAACAATATTTAATGGTTCGATGAGTTTATTCAAACTACAGAATTTATTGAAATCAAATCATCAACTTTAATTTATGAAACTATTTTGTATATTCTATAAGTAAAATGACTGTTGAAAAGAGTCAATAGATATCAATATTCATCTTTTCTGCAAAGAAATACTCATTTTCATCAAATGATTCAATGAATTTGTTACGTTAAAAGTATTCAACTGATTCGAATAATTCCATTCATGTGTTTCTATTTCAATATTTGTGTTTATCATATTTTTTTCTGATAAAGATTTATTTCATAAATTTGAAAATGAGTCTTTTGTTTATTTGACATATATTGTATGGATAAAAAGAATCTCTTTTTTTTTTTTTTTTACAGAAAAATGTTTACGGATCCAAGTTTCCAATGAAGCCCAGATCAATATTCAACGACGCTCACATATTGTATCTATATATTTGAAAATATTAGATAATTAGTATTTATTATAACTCAAATCATGAAAAAGTTTTCTCTCTCATGAAAAGTTCGCTCCTATTGTCTCACATTTCTAAAGTCAACTGAATGAAAAGTCTTGAAGGAACAAGAACTTGTAAAATGTAATAATAATATTGAATTATGATGATAAATCTGATTTCTTCAATCACATAGGATTGTAAAAAAAATAGTTGAAAGTATTATTAAAGATAAAAACAATTGAAGAATTAGTTTACATCGAAATAAAATAGACTTTTTATATTTACATAAAATCTGAATATTTATGTAAAAATTTTCTACTGTTCTATGTAAATTATTTAGTATATTGATTATCTTCTTTGATGATGTTAAGATTTGTAAATCGACAATGATGATTCTAAGATAAGTGATAATACATATTTCAACTGAACTAAAGAATAAATCGAGTGTTTCGTAATGAAGAAATAATATCTAATATGTAAAAATATAATTTTACTCTTTATATCAAATCTTTCTATTGATAATTAGTAATTGAAATATATTCTAAATTCAATTAAATGAAACAAAAGAAAAATTATTAATATAATTTTAGCATTGATTTTATCTTTTATTTACTTTCTTTTCTTTTTCTATTCAATTTTATGAATTTAAAAGTTAAAATTATTTTCTTTTCTTTTGATATTGAAAGTATTGAAGTATTATTGAGATGAATTATTTTTGACAGAATAATTATTATAACTAAAGATTGTTCATATGAAATCATTTTAATGATTTTAGAAGGTTCTTTTTTCAAAAACATAATAAAAAGAAAACTATGAATAATTGGAAAAAATGTGTTAATGTATTTTGTCAATATTAATGATCTATGAGTGTGATTTGTACAAAAAATAAACATGACTAGAATCATTCATTCAATGAATCTTTCTATTTTAATAATTTATTAATAAACAAATATGTACTTAAAGGACGAAAACTATCTCATTCATATGTTATATCTAGACTACAGGAACAAAACCTTTTTAAATAAGAAACTAATTGAGAANATAACGGTTGTCGCTTAATTGAATATTAAATGTTTAATGATCTACCATAGTTCAAGTAAGTTTATAATGCATTAAGAGCTGTTTAGATCGTCATATTTTCATGATAGAAATTCTTAGTAGTGAAGGTTTTCAAGGGTACAAGTCGATGATATTGATAGTGGTAAATGTATCATATGTTTATATGAGATCTTATTAGGAATAGGCTACAGGCATCTTCTTGTGGAATTGATTCTCAATTTGGCAACGATTAGCCGCTCACCTGCGTATGTCGTTGTTTCATTGCTTAAGAAAAATTTAGTTTGAAACAAGCCTGGTTTTGGAGAATACTGCGCTAAGGTTCCTTTCGTCAAACAATTCAGCATAACTCCATGTTTGTAGATTGTGCATAAACCCTAAGAAGTTGAAGGTCTTTTATGGAAATCTTCAGTTTGAACTTGATATGTCAACTATTTTATTTGAGCATTAAGAATTTATTCAAACTTAACAGCTAGAATCCTATATCAACGCATGTACGAACGTTCATAAACTGTATAAGTACTCTGGAATCTTGCCTTATTCTTCTCAAAATTGTAAGGAATTTATCGAATATGTAGATGAATCCCAAGTAAATTAGTTCCATAACTGTTGTTGTCGGGTTTCTTGACAATTTTCTTGGTTTTCATCTAATAATTGTCTAATGAAGCGAAGTTTGAATCAATTATGCAGTGTTTAAACAGGACATGTTGACCACATATATGAAACAAACTAGTAGAGAAGGCGGCTAGTCGTGAGTGGCGCCGACGAACGATTAGCCGCTCAGTTAAAAATTTGTTGTGATTAAGAATACAGGCCTTGAAGACTTATAGAATAGTTACACGTTGTCTCGATCAAAAAAATTGAAACAATGTTCGAAAGTCGTAGAAACTTTAAGTTCTTCTGAAGGAAGATCGTGAAATAATTGCTCAACTCGTGTGAAATATTTGAAACTTATATTTGTCGCGAATATCGTAATAAGTTTAGTTTTTCCTGATTGCGAGTGGGTTTCATTCAAAAGAAGTAAGTGTTAGATCTCTGTATCTTTGAACCTGCGCCCAGGAATGCATATATGCATCAGAGGCCGAAACCGTACAGAAATAAAATGAACCCCCAAATGGATTTGAGCAAAAATGAGGACAAATCTAACCGAAATCGAGTTAGAAAAAGCCAGTTTGATTTGATCTCTGATCTACTCGTGTAGATTCATGTTACGTACCTAGTATATAGACTAATTTGAATTGTAGCTTTACTAAAATGGAGTATTTCGCACTTAACTTCACTATCGCCATTTAGTATAAGTAAGTAGTTCTTAAATGCAGTTTTCTTGGTGATACTTTCAAGCAGGTTTTCTATTTATGCTCGGTTATTAATCATTTTTTCGATGACAATCATTCCGCAGCTATAAAAATGTGAAGTCTCTCAGCTAGATAGTTTTTGATTGCTACGTTCTACATGACTATATCCTTTCAGTAGAGGGTTGCCGACGCTAACGTCGCGTTACTTGTTTATTAATAAACAAATATGTACTTAAAGGACGAAAACTATCTCATTCATATGTTATATCTGGAGTACAGAAACAATATGTTTTGATTCATTAACATTTACACATTGAAGTCACATGTTTGGTCACGCATCATGATCATATCCTTTTGAACCTTCATATGTTCATGTGTGTTTAGCATTAAACATCTTCTTATTTAGATAGATTGAATAACTAATTATATGCTTCTCAATTAGTTTCTTATTTAAAAAGGTTTTGTTTTTCGTTTTAGAAATGATAACTTTTTTTCGTGTTATTGTCAGTCCCCTACTTTCTTTTATAAAATATTTAAACTGTGCAGAGTAATTTATAAATATTTTTATTCATTTGTAATTATTAATATTTTAGATGAATGATTACAAAATATCCATTGATTCTATTATATCTGTATCATTTGATTCTTCTTTCGATCTATTTTTTATTTGTGATTTCGTCAAATAAAAAGAAATTCATGTGAAACTCAAATCTTGTTAAAAACATCTACTGTTCTTCTTTTTTTATATTAATTTCTGTTAATTTAAAATATCTCATCAGTTATAAACATATCAACTGAATTTAGTATTAAAAAAAAGAACTAAAAATAATGTATTGATGAAAATCAATGTTATTTATATAATAATCATTTTCACGATTTCTTCGATTTCAATATTTTGAAAGTAACAAAAGAGAACAAATACTGTAAAAATCTATATTTATTTTATGTAAATGTAAAATGCAAATGCATCTTCAAAATATAATAGATAATTGAAACAGACACTTTAATTGTTTCTCCATCTTTCTTATGATGTAAAAATATAATAAAGTCGACTAAAAATAACTTAGTGATGAAAAGAAAGAACGAACATCAGTGATACATTGTGAATTAATATTATCTATTTGAGTTATTTATTTTTCGGTTATTTTTATAATGATATTAATAAATACATAAACTGAAATAGTTTTTATAAAAATAATGAATTTAAATAATAGAAATTTCTGAAAAAAATATTGATGTATAGAATGGATTGCAATGTTAAGAATACTCATCAATGACGACTATTTTATCATAACAAATTAAAAAGTCTAACAAGAGAATTTATTATGAAGATATGTTTTTTTTTCTTTTCATCTTGTGCTTAAATATTTACAAGAATGAAAAATTATTATTCAATCGACTTTTTAGTGTTCGATTTATAATTGACAAAAGCGAAAAGTTAATGATAATTACTGAAATAACTTTTTCTGTAGATTTATCTATTTCAGATCCTTGGAAATGCTTTTAGAAAAGCATTTATGAGACTTAAGAAAGAGCGCGCGAGACCACCTGCCAACTTGGCAGGTGGTAAAATATTGATTTTCGATTTGGGCATTTCACCTGAAAGATCTAGTCAAACCATAGATAAATCAAAGATATTAGATCTTGCTGACTTGCCTGTGAACAATTGGAAAGTGTACAGGTGATGTATCTATCAACAGATAGCCCAGAATCACTTTCAAAGGGTGTGCTTAGTATTTTGCACCTTTATCTACGTCCAATCATTCATGTGAATGCAAAGACGTCTGAAAAGATGGAGAATGGTTTTTTTTCTACAAAACTGGGTAACTCATTATGTTCTACAATACCATTCACCAAGTGATAATCCCAATATCCAGGGGAAAATGACCATCGAGCAAAATCAAGATTTTCCAGTATTTTGATTCACGTCACGTTTGACTATGCTATTGCAAAATGGTTTATATATTTTTTGAAAGTTTTAAAAATTCTGCACCGTTTAAGGTATTATCTCGACAGATAAAAACACCGGCGATAAAAGTTAGGACCTAACACAAATTTTGCTAGGTGATGCCCATTTCAATCTATCCGATCCATAATTGGAATATTGCATATTTTATAATTATCTGAATAAAATTGACTTCAGATTCGTAATCAACATGAAAAGCTGCCTATGAAAATGTTATTCGGTTAAATGTAAAGTTAATCAAGTTCAAAATCTTCTATCGAATACAAGATAGCAGGACCATACTTAAGGGTATGTATTTATAGACACCTCCATAGCTGTTCATCAGAAGATATGAAACCAAATATTTTTATGTCATGTATAGTCGCTAGTCTTTGCTTCAGAACTATCTATTTTGTTTTTTTTAAATTTTGTGTAATTTTTGAGAAAATCAGATTTTCCTCAATACTGGTAGCAAAAGAATACAAAATTGTAAAAAAAAACGATGTCCATATTTGGTAGCTTTTCTTATTATCGTCTATTCCAACAGCGAAATTAATAGCATATTCGGATTCAGCGCGAAAAACCACGTCGAATAAGTTAGATTTTGGAAAATTGTTTTTTCATCAAAAAATGACTGTCAGAGGCACCACGGCAGATGCTTTGGAAATTAAACGTTGGAGAGGCCTACAGGCGAGTTTTTTCATAAAAAAAAAACAATTTCCAAAATCTCAGTTATTCGACATATTTTTCCGTGCTCATTTCGCATATGCTATACGTTTCTTTATCAGAACGAGCTGTGATAAGAAAAGCTATCAAATATGGGCATAATCTTTTACAGCTTTGTATCCTTTTCCTACCAACATCGTAGAATATCCAATTTTCTCAAAAATAACACCAAATCTAAAAACACGTAAATAGGTACTTTTGAAGCTAAGAGTCCAGTCATTCTAAATGAGCCACAACATTCGGTTTCATATTTTCTCATGAGAGACTAGACCGGCTTGCAAGAATGTTTATACATATATACTTTGAGGTATGCTGCAGTTATCTGGATTCGATAGAATATTTTTATCTTCTATTCAAATGAACATAAAATATGTAATATCTTGATTATGGGTCAGGATGGATTGACATAGGTATCACCTATCAAAATTTGTGGTATGTACTAACAATTTCTGCTGGTGTTTTTGTCCATCGAGGAAATACCTTAAACGATACAGAATATTAAGAACTTTCAGAAAAAATATAAATCATTTTGGGATAGCATGATCCAACATGACTACAGTCAAAATACTGAAAAGTTTTGATTTTACTCAATGACGATTTTTGCCGTTATATTGGGATTATTATTTACGAGGGACGATCCCCAAGTGTGAATCTCAGCTTGAAATAGGATATATACCAACTTGTCGAGCTCGATGAGTTGATTCTCGTGGTACATTCCGTTTTTCTTCATAGATCTTCGAATGAGAGAAACTGATCGATTTTACTAATGAACTTCTTCAATTTTGATAGATTTCGAGACAGTTGTTAGAAGTTTGAAGCTTGAAAAGTACTTTCAGTTTAAAATGGTCATATTAAAACATAGGCAAAGTCACATAAGATAATCTATTATTATTTTTATTTTAAGCGCTTGTTAAACTTCGAATTCTGGATACATAACAAAGTTTTCTCTTAGGACTGATAAAATATCTTCAAATGTAATAATTCTGCAGTTACTTGTAATAGTGATGATGGAATTGAGCTTTGCAAGGAAATACTGTTCTCCTATTCTTTTACAATAATATAATAATAGGCTATCACATGCGGCATTGTCTGTTTTAAGGGACGATTCGTGAATGAGAATTTGTCATGGTATCTACAAGAAGATAGAGGATAAAAAGCTGAATAAAATAAGCTTTATTGATATAATTTAATATCTAACAATTCAAGATTTGTAAACCCAACCTGAGTCAAGAGCGGGGGGGGAGGGCATTTTGATCAGTTCAAATAAAACAATATACCTCGTAGTGTATCTCAGAAAAACAAAAGACCAAACTGGATTTTATATATGCTGTGTAACTTTTCGTTCTCTACAAAAAAGAATTTACCCTTGCGACGAAAAATGGCTTACATCTTCTCATTTTTGATGATTTTTGGCAGTTTTTCAATAGAAAATCAGTTTTCAAGAACTCAGGGTTTAAAGATCCAGAAGTAAAAATCATGCTAATATTCAGAATCGGCATGACCGATTATCTAAAATCCGCTAGGATTTTCCTCAAAAGCGATTGAAAATTTGATGACATTTCCTCATTAGATCGTTCGTTTGAAACATGTCTCAAAAAATAATGAATGTTATTGACAGTAATAAAAAAAAGAATAATATCTGAATAAACGAATAATAAAAAAGTTATGGTCAAAGTAACTAAGACTTCAATTTAATTCTATACAGCACAAACCTTATATTGTAAACTAGTGGCATCTAACGTCAAATTTTTTGTATACAACTAAATTCAACATTTGTCGTTGTTGTCGTCTATTGCACGACTCCATTGTTCTCTTTTTCGGTGTTTTTCAATCAATTCATATCGTGTGTTTTTTCTATCTTCATCTATTTGAATAAAATAATATTTTGATTATCTCATCATGTCTGAACAAAACATGCAAGATGAAAACAGTGTTGCTACCGAACAAAATTCCATGGTACAACGTATTGCACTTGAAGTAAAACGTCGTGAACCGAGCTCAGTAAATAGTGTTTTTTGTTTTGCATTTTAATACTTTTTCAACTAAATTTTTCTATATATAGATTAATGAACTTGTATTGGATAATTGTGCACGTTGCTATTCTATTCAAGGTCTAACAGATGAATTTTGTAATTTACGTGTACTTTCAATAATTAATGTTGGCCTTCAATCTCTTGCGAAATTTCCGAAATTACCTAAACTTCGAAAAGTAAATTTTTCATTTATGTTTATTGTAATTTAAATTTTCTTTTTTCTAGCTTTATCTTAGTGATAATCGTTTAAGTTCAGGTTTGGAAAATCTCGAAGGTTGTCCAAATTTAACATTACTTATACTTGCTGGAAATAAATTTAAATCAATTGATGAACTTAAACCATTAGTAAGATAAATTATTTAGTTTTGATGAGTAGAATTTTAATTATATTTTTGTTACATTTTTAATAAAAAGACTAAGTTGCCAAAACTATCAATCCTTGATTTAATGAATTGTGAAGTAACATCGGTTGATGGATATCGAGAAACAATGTTTAATATGTTACCACAATTAAAATATCTCGATAATGCGGATAAAGATGGTGGTAAGCAAAAAAAAGAAATTCTTCATTTCGATCTTTCAGTGTTGAGCTTCTTTTATCTAGTGGAAAAAGATAGTGATGACGAAGATGATGATGAAGATGAGGATGAACTTGAAGAAGACAACGAAAATGGTGCATCCGATGGTGGTAAATGAAGTTCTATTTTCAAAGAAAATACATCGCTGTATGTTTTTTTTCAGAAGACAATGAAGAAGAAGATGATGAAGATGAAGAGGTATGATAGATCGTCATATTAATTTCCTGGATTTCTTAAGAAATGAGTTAATCATCCTTTAAAATTGATCTGGGCCTCGATACTTTCAATTTGCATGAAATGTTCAACTCTATATGTTAACGTTTTCGGAAAATATTCTATAGGTTTCATTTATTTTTGTTTGAAAGAGCATGTTAGGACACCGTCCTTTTTTTAAATCCTTTTTAAGAAAGGAAAATTCAATGTTTCATAAATGATTATTTAACGAGGGAAGATCACTAAGTGTTCAATCACTTCTGCGTTGAGACTATGTGCATTATGTAAGTATAAATGAACTATGAATACCTTGAAAAAAGTTCGGACCACCAGCTTATTGCTACGAAGATACTGCACTTTTATGATATTTTTAAATGAATGTCGTGAACCCCTCAGAATATCACAAAATGATTTTTGGATTTCGACTTGGAACTTTACATAGAAACAGATCTTTTGATTTGTTCTTATCCTGAAATGAGAGCATCACATTTTCTAGTTCATTTGAATGAAGTTATCGTAGTTGTATCTACGCATAGGAAGAGCAGCAAAGTCTGAAATTTTCCCAAAATACTGTTCTCGGTAAGACTTGTTTCAAGCCGAAATTCGAAAATTATTTTATGTGGTTTTCTGAGAGGATGACGCATTTTTTTTAAAAACATACCCTAAAAGTGCAGTATCTTCGTAGCAATTAGCTAGCGGCTCGAACGTTTTCCAAACAAGCAAGGACCGAAATCATCAAAAGTTTTTGCAACAAAGAGATGCTTTCTTGCGATTAAAGGTTTTAGCAGATATGTATAATACTGTTTTGTTTAAGTACTAAAATATGACAAAATAGATTTAAAATTTTAATATGCATGTGATGATTTAATGGTTTCCATTCCACGTGATATTTTGGGAATCGTCGGACTCTACTATTCTCCTATGCATTTATCTTAGTTTCGATAATGCTGACGAAAATATTATCTTTGAGAGAAATAAGGCTTAAGATAAAGAAAGACAGAAAGCATGAGTATACTACTGATATGGAATTGAGATTGTATTTTTATTTTTATAATGACGAGAAAAGAGAAATCAATAACAAATAGTTTAGAAATATTTCTATCTAAATTTAGAAATGTTAATATTTTAGGATGACAACAAAACTGGTTTAAAAGCATTGTATAATGGAACATTTGAAGAAGGCGATGATGATGATGAAGAAAGTTATGAAGGCAATAGTGATGAAGAAGAAGAATCTGGTTCGTGTATTTGTATCACATATGGAAAATTTTCAATTAGTTCTTTTTATCTTTAGATGAAGATGATGATTTATCAGAAGGTGATGTTTCAGCTGAATCAATTGAAAGTAAATATAATTTATTTTTTGTTTGCTTTTCTTGTTAAGCTATTTGTTTTATCTTTTACTTCGTAGGACCATCAAAAGGTGAAAAACGTAAACGTGGTGCAAATGATCAGCAAGAAAATGCTATTGAAAATAGCAATGACGATGATGATGGTCCACCACATAAAATTTAAATATATCCATCGCACTTTATAAAAACAAAGATAACTAAACATTATGTATTATTGTCTATATTGTACAGAAACATCAACTATATTTTTGCCTTTATAAACAATAACGAGATAGTTGTTCGTATTCTGTTCCGATCTTCTAAAGATCTCTTCTTCTTCTATATGTGCTTTCTTGTTCTTATTAAATAAAGGATTCTTGAAAACAGAAGAACTTAATTATATATATATATGTATGTAATCAATTGAATTTTCTAGATGACTGATATAACTAAGGTTTTTCGAGCTGTTATAAAAGCTAAACAAGTAACAAATGATTTTAATCTTGGTTTAAATAAACGTGTGAAAAAAAATGAAAAAATTTCAACAAATTTTTTATCACGAGCAAAACTAATTCTTAATGATATAATAAAATTAAAGCATATTTTACTTAATTTTCGTACAATTTATTTAAGTCCACATTATCTTTTATCATCAACAAATAAAATTATGAATGATGAACAACGTCAAGAATTCGAACATAATATTGAAAAACAAATAAAACAATGTCGAGATGATTTAGAACAATTAAAATCATCTATTGGGCAAATTTGTTTTCAAGGACAACGTCGTTCACATTTTGAATTAGTTTGTGCTTATTTAGAACGTGATCTAGTTGAATGTACTAAAATTTATAGTGAACAAAAATGTTTACGATATAAATGTGAATCACAAAGAAAAAAAATTGGTCGACTTGATACTGATGATCAACGTGTCATATTAAATGTTCATAAAAAAGATAATCGAAAAAAAACGAATGATCTTATCGATGGTACAAAAAAGTCAACAAACACAATTGAGAACAAGTTAGAATCTTTTCACAAATAAAATTCATTTTAAATTTTGATAATTCATTTTAGTTCTAATAATGTAACTGCTACTACTACGACTACTAATTATTTTGACCAAGATAATCATATTGAACATGATGAAGAAAATCAAATTCCATCAACTCCACCGACTGGTAGTGAAATTCGGCAATTACAACTAGAAAATGATCAATTATATCATGATGTTGCTCAACGTAGTGAAGAAATTCATGCTATATCAACACAAGTTGTTGAAATAGCACAATTACAAAATGAACTATTCGATAATATACTTATGCAAAAAGATCTTATTCAAGAAGTTGACACGGCAGCTGTTGCTAGTAATGATGATTTAGCTGCTGCTATTATACATATTCGTGATGCAATTCGAAATACAGCACAAATGCGTCGTTGGGTTATATTTTTTTTACTTGTTATGATTTTTTCACTTCTCTTTCTTGATTGGTATAATGTATAGAAAAAGAAGAAAAGATGCTAGTCAAATAATATTTTTTATTGAAGAAAAAGAAAACAAAGGAACAGTTTGTTTTTTCTTTTGAAATAATATTCTTCGAAATAAATTCTTTGTTTATGGGCAATAATTAGCTTTCTTTTTATAGATGTCGGATACGAGTACAAGTAATAGTGATGTTGAAGATGATATTGACGATGTATTACCAATATCTTCTCATGTAAATATTATTCATGGTCTTAAGACTGTATCATGTTTAACATTAGATTCAAATGGTATGCGAATGATTACAGGTGGACATGATGAAACAATGAAAATGTTTGATTTTACATCCATGGATAAAAATTTTCAAGCATTTCGAACTATTAAACCATGTCCTGGACGATTGTTACGAACTATTGAATGTAGTGCAAATAATGATATGATACTTATTGTTCCCGGAGATTGTCAAGCAATTGTCCTCAATCGAGAAGGTACGAGATTAGAGGTTTTCGATGTCAACTAAAAGAAAAATCTAAGTTTATTATTTATCACTAATAAATACTTTTCACTTGTTACAATCATTTAATTGTTATGACAATCTAGAAAATTTATAGTAATAGATTGTTAAAATATATTTGTCACGATCAAATGATTAGATTCAACATATAATAAAAAATATAGAAGTGTAATTTTTTGGAGTAAAACAGTATCAGGTTTGTTTGAAAGAACGAGTCGGTGGACAGACAAGAGGACACATATAGTGCTCAGAAGAATTCGTCAGGTTCAAAATTTTGGGATTCGATTGAACCATACGTTGCCACTCAATGAAATTTTCTAATCGTCATTGAATAGTCACGCCGAACATACGAGATACTTTTTACGACTTTTTGGATTCGATCATAAGTGCACGCTACACATTTCTCAGATGTGTAGAGTCCATCGAAATTTTAATTTTCCGATCCGAACTTGGTCGGGTTCGAATCTGGATTCGAGACCATTCCCCTATGGACTACAGCGCCCAAAGATAGTTGAGATATTAACTATCATTTGTTTTGAATCAAGTACCAAGGTAGAGAGCCAACATCTCAAAAGAAATTCTACATGAGCATCTTCGATACGATAAATATCTTAAAAAGCTGTTAACACAATCTTTGCATCACTAAAATGTGAAACACGATGTAGCTGCTTTTTCTGATCACAGAGAGATGGCTTTATTCTATCTATTTTGGAATACGTTTCTTCACCATTGTTTTACTTAGTTCTTCACAAATGCTATAAGATACTAGTTAATATATTAGAACGAGATGTTATTGATATACAGTTTGCAATCATATATTAACAACGTGTCTCACAGTCTGTTATGAACGACAGACGTTGCTAAGAATGTCTGTCATGGCTGTAGGAGGTCGAAGTTTCTACTCCTATGCTTCAACATTTCTTTTAGATGGTGTTTCACAAAAGTTCTTAATAGTCGTAGTTCGTTACTTTTACGCGAAGAATGATCTGATAAATAAATTCTTTCCGAACGTAGGCAACTTTTTTTAAGACTCAATATTTTTTATTTGATATTTTACCCATGTCTTCTGTATCACACGATGTTAAAAATATAATAGCTTAAATATTCCATACAATACAGCACATTTAAGATTAAATTTTGCGCTAAAAAAATAAGACTTTAATTAGACATAAGCAGGGCTAGTCAGTTTTGGTCCCGGTAGCATCTAGTCCCGCGTGGCCATATCTAACATAAATTCAGTCAAGTATAATAAGTTACAAAGCAATATCTATCAATCTTTTTCTTGTATTGTATTTCAAGTTGCAGATATAGCTAATTAATGTTTCTGTTTATAGCTTCTGGAAAACATATTATTTACAAAACAGTACTTGGTGATATGTATGTCACTGACATGAATCGTACAAAAGGTCATAAGTCATTATTAAATTATGGTTGTTGGAACCCATCATCAAATTCTGAGGAATTTATGACTTGTGCTGATGATTGTACATTACGTATATGGTCATTAAATAAACGTGATCAACAATTACATGTTATTCGTACAAAAGGTGAATCTGGTCATGATGTACGAACAACAACTTGTACATATAATCAATCATTATATCATAATGAAAATTCAAATTTAATAGCTGCTGGTTGTGATAATGGTAGTATACTTGTATGGGATCGTCGTCGATCATTTGTACATGTTACATTTAAATGTTTAAATGCACATTTACAAGATGAATCAATAACATCATTAAAATGGTCATATGATAATCAAATATTAGCATCAAGATCAACTGATCATACACTTAAATTATGGGATATAAGAAAATTTAATCAATGTTTATCATCATGTGAAAATATTTATAATCATTTTTCAATGACAAATATATCATTTTCACCAAATGATAAATTTCTTATAACTGGTGTATCGAAATTTATTAGTTCAACTAATACTGATAATGATACAAATGGAAAATTACTAATATTTAATCGAAATGATTTATCAAAAATATCTAATGAAATTTCATTTAATGATAGTGTTATTCGAACAATATGGCATCCAAAATTAAATCAAATATTTACAACAACAAATAATGGACTTATTCGTGTGTTTTATGATGAACAACGATCACCAATGGCTGGTATTCGTTTATGTCTTAATCGTAAAGAAAAAAAAGCTAAAGATACAAATGATTTTATTACAAATATTGATCCAATTATAGCATCTAGTTCTACTTCTGATTCTAAAATTGAACCAAAAAAACAGATTTTTCCAGAAAAAAGAAAAGAAGAACATAAATCTTCTTCATTACATCAACATCTTATTCAAACAATAGTAAAACCTAATTTTATAGAAAAAGAAGATTCTCGAGTTGAATTATTAAAATATGCTAAAGAAGCTGAATCTAATCCAAAATGGATTACACCGGCTTATGTACATACACAACCTAAACCTATATTTCAACAACAGATTGAGGAAGAAAATGACGACGATGATCTATTACCAGTATTAAAAAAAACAAAGAAATAAATAATTATTTTCTTTTCAGATCGAAATAAATCCTTTTTGTTTTGAATTTATAAGAATGCATATTTCAGTAGCGAACTATGGTGGTACAGAAGAGTTATTAACAATTGAAATAGCTCCCGATCTTACAATAAAAGATTTAAAAGCTGTTATTGAATTCGAATCAGATTTTGGAATAAAAGCAGATGAAATGAATCTTTACTTCGATGGTAAATCTAAATAACTTTAATGATAAATTTTGTATTTGTTTTTTTGTGTTTTTTTTCTATTTCAGGTAAATTACTTCGTAATGAAAATCAAACACTTGAAGGATCGAATGTAAAAGATTATGATGTTATTACTTGTCAACGAAGATCATGTACGTCATTTCTAAAAGATTTTGATTAAATTAAGTTTTATTTTTTCATATTCTACTTTTAATATAGAATTGATCAACATTGTTAGGTATTTATGATTAGGCAATGAAAATAAATGCATTGAGGGTAAGCCAAGGAGAAAAATCGAAACTTCCGTACTTCACTGTATTTCTGCTTTTTTCAGCTATTTCAAGTCTACTATCAATGTGTGTCACAAGTATATTAATTTGAGTTTATTTTATATAAGTCTGTCTGACAATAGAGCCAAAACACTTCATCGTACTTCAACAGTGAAGTACGATGAAGTGTTTTGGCTCTATTGTCAGACACACTTATATAAAATGAACTCAAATTAATATACTTGTGACACACGTTAATAATAGACTTGCAATAGTTAGAAAGTTCTAAAGGATAGCTCTGACATACTTTTGGAGTACGCTGAAGTACATGGAGGTACGAAATTTCCGCTTTTTTCCCTTTTGGGGTAAGCGCATGTTCATGAATTCAATTGTAATATATATATATATAGGCATTTGGTATTATATTTGAAACGCTAGAATAGTTTTGAAATTTTAACTACAAACTTTTGTTTTTAAAAACACATAACTAAAAATGCGAAGAAATATCAGATAAAATGAAAATGTAATTTTTGATAAACTAAATATGAGTAGATCACAGCCCATTAAGACTTTTGCACTCAACTATTGTTTCTTTTATATAACTTCATAATTCCATCGTTTGATGTTAACGTAGAGAAAAAAATCAATTATTATACTGCTTCGTTTCGACAATTTTTTCCCCCTACAATCTGAATTCCGCAGATCGTTATTGATCATCTTAATCGAGATAAAAATGCTTCACTTTTCCGCACATATATATCTATATATATATATATATATATGTTGATGTCAATATGCATATTGTATGTTTCCTTAACTGAAATACGATAAATAATTCAAATAAATAGTTAAAAATCTCATTATTTATTATAGCCGGTTCGATTGCAAACCCAGGAGCAGCTTCTAGAACGCGTCTATTATTTGATCGTATGGATGTTTAAAAAAAGCTTCTATTTAAAATTAACCTGATTTTCTATATTAAAGCGCATAATCCACAACAACTTTTTAATGATCTACGTGATAATCCAGCGGTACTTCAACGAATTCGTCAAACTGACCCTCAATTAGCAGCTGCTGTTGAACAAAATGATATGAGTATGAATGGAGTTTGTTTGTTTTTTAAAATAAACATAATCAATATCATCTATTGTTTCAGATGCATTCATGCAATATGTGATGAATCGTGTGGCACCACAAGTAATGCGTCCTCCAACTGAACTTGATTTACTTGATCCAAGAATTCAGCGACGTATTGAAGAGAATATTAAGTAAAACAAAAACAAAACGAGAAGAAAAATTTTTATGTTTGCTTTGTTTAGTATGGAAAACGTTCTAGACAATATGGAACATGCTTACGAACATGCACCTGAATTTTTTGGTAATATTGTTATGCTTTATATTGTAAGATATAAAAAAAAACAAATATTACATGTTCAATTAAAAAGTTTCCATTTGGTTTACATAGAATTGTAAAATCAATGGTAATCCTGTTAAAGCATTTGTTGATTCTGGTGCTCAAATGACAATTATGAGTAAAGCATGTGCTGAACGTTGTGGAGTTATGCGTCTTCTTGATACACGTTTTAGTGGTATTGCTCGAGGTGTTGGTACACAAAAAATTGTTGGACGTATTCATTTAGGTTTAATATTTTATTTTGTTATTATTAGTTATATCATTGCATTTATATTCATTTTCAGCACAACTTGAAGTTGAAAAACAATTTTTTGCAACTTCATTAGCTGTACTTGAAGATCAATCAATTGATATGTTAATAGGACTTGATATGTTACGACGTCATCGAGTAACAAATTAAAAATTCATTTTATTCATTCGAAAACAAGACTTCGTTTTTTTTTGTTAGTGTATCATTGATTTGGATAGAAATGTTCTTCGAATTGAAAATAGTGTTGAAACAAGTTTTTTATCAGAATCCGAATTACCACCACATGCAAGATTATCCGTTCATTCACCTGGTGCAGAAAACCGTGATCTGCCAGGAGAGTTTTTACAATCAACTGCTGAATCAGGTAAATATAAGATGATTTATCATTTATTATTCATACTTTATATGCTTATACATATGAAGCTCGAAGAACTTTTATCAATGGTAAGTTCTTGTATGTTTTTCCTAGATCTTACATATTAACTAATTAAAACAAAACGTAGTACAAATAGCACTGCATATTTATGATCTGTCATTGAAACTTTTCTAGTTTTTTGTTGTTTACATTGACAGATACAATAATTAATATTTTAAAAGTATTCTTTAAAGTAAAATAATGCTATGATTTTTTTTCTTTTAGCTGATAATCGTCATCAACAACGATCAAATCAACCAGCAGGAGCAGCAGCAGCAGCAAGAACAATAACATCTAGTGCATCATCCCTAACAGCATCGCCTTTTCCAGAGAAAGATATTAAAGCATTAACAAAGAAAGGATTTACAAGAGAAGAAGCTATAGAAGAATTAAAATTAACAAATGGAGATGCAACCAAAGCACTTGTTACTCTTATGGCAAAATGTTTAGGAAAACCTAAACGAAAAAATTAAATTAAATTTTTTAAATTTACATGTTAACACTTGACTTAACCGAGACATAGTTTTTTTTTATTTGTTCATTGATTCTTGCTTTATTTGATTTTTATTTTTTTGTGATATTTTCATATACTTTCTGAATCTTCTAAAGTTCTAAACAGGTTATTTTTTTAGTTAAGAATAAATAAATGAATATTAATCGTATGTATCGGCATACAAAAAAAAAATTAATGCAAATATGATTGTAATGTCAATTGGGAATTGTTTAGAAACATAGTCTTTTCATGATTTGTAAATTGAATGAAGTGTTAAAGAAAAAAAACAAGAAGTAAAAATTTGCTAAAAGGAATATTATGTATTCTATATGTAAAGTCTAAATGTTGATGATCGACTAAGCAGAACTCGATTAATGAAGCGAACAGCATCGTTGCATTCGTCAACTGATCGTACGTGTATAGGTTTATTCTAATCAAATTAGGGCCGATAAGGAAAATAAATATTAACCATCTATTGCTTCGTTTTTTTTTCTTCTTCTGTTTTTCTTAGACATTCTCTCGTATTTGGCTAATATTACTTGGAGCGACTAATTTGATTAGGATGCAAAATCTACCAATAACAGAAGACAGATAGTCATCGTCTGATGAAACACGACGACAAGATAAGAATAACTTTTATTTTAGATTTACTCAACGATGACATATTAGTTGTTGTCTATTTGTTATCTATTGTGAAACTTACTCTATTAAAATTGTTTGTAAATACAAAACCAATGATAAATGTATAAAGAACATTCATCAATTAATTATTTATTTTTCATTGTATTTTGATATAGAATATAAAATGAAGATAAAACGAAATAAAACTATTTAACAATAGCACCCAATGTCAATATGATATAAATATATATATATATTTAAGGCAGTGAACAGATGGTAGAACGAGATAGATTAAATTTTGTTAAGATAAATCAAGTCATTCAACCAACAATTGTTTGATAAAAAACAAAAAGGAAGTTGAAATGAAACAAAAGTTTAACGAGGTGACATTGAAATTGATGGCATTGGCTGTCTTTCCCAGACATCTATTCCACACTCACAAGTTGTATAAGAAGTAGGCGTACTGGAACGAGCATCTTCGAAAGTTAATGTTGATTTACGTATATTATTATTAGAGGTTGTTGTATTAGGATTATTAGAAATTATTGCCGTAGAAAAAATCGATTGTGGTGATGATGAAGATGAAGTAGACGTTGAAAAAAATGTACTTTTATTATTAGTAGTATTAGAAGATTTTGAGTTTAAATTAATACTTGGTGATATCGGTAATGGTGGTAATGGTGGAGGAAAGAATTTACGGGTCGGTGGTAATTCCTCGTACGTAAATGGAGGTATCTTACGTTGTGATGATATATTCTGTATAGATGAAGTTATAGTAGCATTTGAATGTTCATCATTATGATTCGATATTTGTTGAGACGATAATAAAGAAGCACGATTAGTCAATGATCTTTGACAACAACACGAATGTGATGTATGAGGTATTGGTAAAGCGTCATAGTTTTGTATTAAACGTAATTCACATTCATCATTATATAGCAATTGTTGAGGTTGAGAACGAAAATATCGACAAGCACCAAATATAACACCACTACAAGCAACAAAACCAATACTTATAGCAACAAGAATAAGAATATGTTTTAAACATTTCAAATTATATTGTTTTCGATCACTTGTTATCAATGGACAATCGTTTGTAAAACGATATACTACGATACCCATAACACTTGCAAGTACAACTAACCATAATGAACAGAATGCAAAACGACATGATGATTGTTGGATTTTAGATAATTTTTCATTTTTTGATCTTAAACGTTCATTTAATGTCCAATAACTATATAAATGATGTTGATATTGTTTTTTTATATTTGATGAATGTAAAAGTGTTGTTGTTGGTTTTTGTGTTGGTAAGTCATTAATAACGATTGAGTCCACCGGTACGGGTGGACTTGAAAAAGATGACCGCATGAACAATATATAACAATAAAATTGAGCGATTAGCAATTATCTATCATTATTAATAACATGTGGTTTTTGTTATTCAATCTTGTCAGAGAAGAAAAGGAAGAAGAGAGAGAAAGAACGAGAGAAAGATATTTTGTTCTATTGATACAAAGGACAACACGTTGTTAGTGCAAATCAATTGACGGTGTGAGAGTATAGATCCAATAAGCAGAAGCATGCATTCTAGTCTTTTAAGAAACAGAATACAAGGATGATGATAGTAAGAATTGTACGCCTAAAAGATAGGAAAAGAAACCGAAAGAGAAATAGAGAGACAAATAAAGCAATCGCATACTAACAAAAAATAAAAAAAGACATGCAGTACATAAATGACGATGACATAAATGTAAATAATCAATAAATAATTCAATGACTATTGATGCAAATCATACGATATGTATCAAAATTTTCCAATGATAGAAATTTAATATCGGCTGTATATTTTATCTATAAAAACTAAATTTACTTTCGATTTTCTTATATAAATATATCTTTATATACACATGTGTATACATCTGGAATGTACGGAGAAAAAAAATATCTTCAGTTTTCTATCAGTAAAGAAAATAACTATATATGATCGATATAGGAAAAGAAGCCCGTCAAGTTCTAATAATTGGTATGGTATTTGATAAAGTGCCAAAGAGCTAATTATTACTTTTATTACATTTGTCACTTGTATATAAAGAATAAAGCAGAAACATTTGGATCATAAATAAGTACCTGTGAATAATTACCTTCGTTTGTTATCAGTCGATGTATATATACAACATATGTTCTATTTACTAACCTTTTTGCTTTTCATATAATCAAAGGAAATGTTTATTTCAAAATGGTATTCTGTCATATATATATATCATCTCGATAATAAATATATCCGAAGTTAGAGATAAAGGACAGGTCACTGTAATTAATCATCCCGTAAATAGGCAAAAAAAATTGTCAAAACTACGATAATCATTCACTCCTTCTGTGTTTTTCAAGTCTCATATTTGACATTATCTTTCAACGAGAAAATTATTTAAGAAGATCGATAGCGAATTTGTCGATGAATGGCGCTTGACTTATATATTATTTCCTTCTCATCTTATTAATGAAACTTTTCATTTCTCTTATTTTTGCTTATTTCATGATTTTTGAACATCATCGTTATTTACATTTTCGTATTCTTGCTATTAACTATAATAATATATCTTTAATGAATACTTCAACAAAAATAACAACAAATCGAATGTTACATATGAATTCATTTATCATACTTAGCTTTTGTATATTGAGTTCTATTCTTTTATGTTTGTATGCCATATTTCACAATAGACAATCAATATCAATGTCATCAATAATTAAACAAAAGATAAAGAGAAAATCTTTTCATTTTGATAAAAAACAATTATTGAAAAGAAAAAATCGAGAAAAAGATATATTACCAATTAACGATAGTAGTAGCGTTGATCCAACTGCTATTACACAACAAACAAGTTCTATTTCGTTGAAAAAAAATAATACAAATAAATCAAATTTATCTTTTTGATTAAAAGAAAAATATCGAACATATATTTTATTATACATGTAAATTTTAAAAATATTATGATAAATAATAACCATTAGTAGAAAATTTTGATTTTTAATTATTTTTTAAAATCTTTTTTGGAAATTTAAGAACTGAAGAAAAATAATTTAATTGGTAAACATTAAAAAACATTGCAAAATTTCTAATTGAAGGTAATTAGATAAAATATTGAATTGTTTTTCTCATTTTGCAGTAAACTAAAATTAATCATTAGTTCATATAGAATTCTCAACAAAACTGTTAATCTAAAACTGACTTATCACGTACTCATATTATTTGTGTGAATGAACATGTTAATATATACGACTATTATCAGAATGAAATATATTTTCTATTAATATAAATTTCAAGCTTAAGTCTATTTTTATTCAATTCATCACTCGAAGATTTAAGTTTTACAGTTTAAAAAAAATTTTTAAGATCATGTATGGATACTAGATTATTACAAAGCTTTATATCTGATTAGATAAATTTTCAATTACATTATCTCTTTAATGATATTATGTGTCCTCGCATTCATATTACATTCGTGTCTCGTTTCTGTATTCATTGCAAGATTGAGTACAATTATCTATCATAACTAATTCATTGTTTCTTTCTTTGTCCCTTTTTTCTCATATTAACATTATGAATTACTTAAATTTTTCTCTTTTTTTTTTTGTTTCAAGTAATCAAACATTGGACTAATATTGAAGGAAAATAAACAAATGCTATCATTCCGTATAGTAAACTATAAACTGTAAAGTAGTAATGCTTTCATTATTTTCTCCTGATTATTTACTAAATAACCATCATCTGTTGTTTTCCATTAGAGCAGAGTACTTAAGTATTTGCAATATTTCTTACTTATATATAATCTTTCATTTGGTTTTAAAGATCTTTTCGCAAATTCGATGCATAGAAAATGTTTTGTATATATACGTTTATATATATAAACATTTTTTCATAGTGATCAGCAAAACTTTGCAAATATATGTATATATGTGTTGTATCCAAAGAAAAAAAAGGTTATTCGAGCAATTATCAAGAGGCACTGTTATATGTTATATGTGTCTGCTACTGCTCTATCTTTTTAGCACAAAAACCAACAACAACAAAAAAAAATAAACTATGTACAGTGATATGCAGAATGGAAAAGAAAAAAAAAATTCAACTAAACTATCGTATTGACACAATAATATTATTTTGATCATTTATTGAAGATGATGGTGTATGATAATAATGTGGTGTTGGATGATGCTGATGCTGATGTTGATTTTGATTAGTTTTTGTATTATTAGTTAATAATGATGATGTTGTTGTTCGAATAACATTATTTTCTTCACTCGATCGTGAATATTTTATAATAAGAAGACTTATTAAGAATAAAACGGAACCTGTAACAACAAATGTTATACCTAAGACTCTAATGGTTTGTCTATTACATTTAAATGATGATGATACTATTGATAAATTATTATTTATACTGTTTTCATTATTTGATGTTGTCAATGTATTACAACCGTTGAAATGAATTATATAAATGAGTTGACTAGTACCAATAATAATAAATAAAATTGACAATATAAGCATGACGATACCACATGGAAAACTACATTGAAAAAAATGATAACAATAACCACGAACAATTTCAACTCGACGTCTTTTTATTGTATATGAACCAAAAGCTCCTACCATTGAATGCATAATAAATCTTAGTATTGTATTATGATATATCGTATAAGTGAATAAGTAACGAAATAGATGAAAGTCTACACAAGAAGAAAAATTAATGTTGATGACTATTATTCTTACAGCAGCCAACAACCAAATAATTCCATCTACTTTATCTAAAACGAACCAAAAAAAAAAGAGAAAAAAAATACAAGTGGACTTTATTCATATTCTTGAATAGAAATTCTCATTAAGTAGTTCATAACAAAATCAATAAGATTAATCTAATTTAATACTTTATTCAAACTTATTCTAAAGGTAGAATTTCTTTATACTCAATTACATGAATATATATATATGTGTGTGTGTGTGTGTACGTCTATAAGAGTGAAATCATAAATCATCAGTATGTCTTCTTCTCGTCTTCTTTGTACAAATATATAAACAGCATTATAGTATTCTCCATATATAAGGATATATCATCATTGTCATTAACTAAACAGTAGAGTCATTTGAGATGGAGGGATGCATAATTAGAGTACAGTCTATTGACAAGTTCGATTATGCCTTTGTATTGGATGTGTGCATGTATTCTTTTTCGAACAACCGCGACTAACTTCCAATTGATGAAAAAAAAGCTAACACTACCAACGCAGAAAAAGAGCAGCAGTAGATAAGTACTTACTATAATTGTGTTGCCTTTGATTAGCTCCTGTTCGACGTGGCGACGAAAGAGACAAGAAGGCAACAAGAGAAAAAAACAACGCGCAATGATGACGATCGGAAACATTTGTATCATCCGGTAGAACGATGGAACGCACGCAGAGGTACTACAGAAAGGAATAGAACGAAATAAACATATCAATCCAAAGACACAAGAAAAAAACCAGTAGACGAAGAAATCATTAATAAAATAAGAACCATTCTAGTCTGTTTGATGGACAAAAGGACGTCGGTCGTCAAAATCAAGTAACATCTAAATCATATTTATGACCCAAATGATCGACATACATGTCGAATCTTGATCCACTTATGAGTCTGTCTCTCCAAATACTAGTACTATTCACCTAATTATTCTTTTCTCAATATGCCATATCGAAGATTAGTTTTTTTTTCTTCTCTTCTTCTCTTTTTTTCTCTTCAATTTTTGATTAATATCATTGGAATCAAGAAACAGCTATGCTCAACATATAGTAATAAACAACGAACAACTAATTCTAGTTTGGTACTAGAATGTGACAATAAACTAGCTCACAGTATAGAATAATAACACATTCGTCATCTCCGTCGATGATGATGTAGTACTTTCTCGCTCTTTCATAGGATTCTTTTTTTTGAAAAAAATAGAAGAAAATAAGAACAACGAGTATGACGATGACGAAAAAAAATCGACTGCGAGACGGCGAAGCAGCAGAAAATCCAACCACGTCTCTCGCTTTGTTATAGACAAACAAAATAGACAGAAAAGAGTGAGAAAAACTTCATCTCAGAATATGAAGAGACATTTACGCATGCTTCTATGCCATGAACGATGAAGAGTGGAGATGGAGGAAAGACGACGAGTATTACTACCCATTAATTTGATACGAGCAACGTTCTGATCGAACACTAGAGCTGTTGTTATTCAATTGCACTATGTTTTTTTTTCTCTATTATCTACGCAATCAACCGTAATCAATTAAATCATGTACTTATACGCTTGTTGTTGCTCTCAAACGTATGCTCCGTTGCTTTCTTCTTTAAAATCTTAGATAGAAATAGAGAACTATGCTAATTTTTCTTGGCATTACCTGTCGTGTCAAAAAACATATATGCACAATATAGAGATAAAGATTAGTTGGTATCGTCCAAATGTTAACTAAATAGAGACAGCCGTTAGCGCGTCGTCTGTTGTTATTGTCAATGTATTATTTATATAGAACGTTGCTGTTTATTTGCTCTTTTTATCGTACGTAATGTGCAAGTTTTACCGATATACTCCACCTACTCATTATCAGAAGCAGACACAAATCAAATGATGAAATAACGCGGAGCAATAAGGTGTTGATAAATTAGGCAAAAAACAGAACTAATGAGAGACATCCAGATTCGTTTCGACATTATATATATATATATTTGATAAATGAGACAGCTAAAGACTTTTTTTCTTGACTGAAACAAACGACAAACAATTGGATTTTATTATTCAATAGTTCCATTCGATATTACATCGATAACAAACTGTGAATTTAACCAAGTCCTGGAATGAATGAAGTTTTTTTTTAATCGATAAATATATAATTCATAGGAAAAAATAACAATCATTTCCGACTGATAGACGTCATAAAGGCAAACAAACTGGCATTTGTTCATCATCATAATGATGCTGTTATAACATACATCTAGGCATTATTCATGTTTTTCTTGTCAGACAAAACATCTAAATTCTTAGATAAAAACATCATTAATTCAGCAAATTATTTCTTTTTTTAAAGACAAATGCATACACTATTCTAATTGTCTCCTTCATTAAACGGTAACCTTTCCGTTCATTTTTGAAGTAATATATCATTTCCGGTTTGAAATATCAAAAGAACTAAACATATTTGCAAATAATTCTATTCAAGATGACGTTTATTTTCAAAGCAGTTTTGTTCACTCATCTCGAATTGATACACGAATGTCAATTTATTATGACAGATATATTTTTAGATCGGATAAAATTTGCTCATCAAAAAAGAGTCATGAGCTTATGACTTCAATAGAACTTAATGTAAATACAATTAACAAGAAAAAGATGCATAGACTTCTATATCTATTGAAAAAGTATTCCGAATAAAAGAAGAATTTGTCATACGATAACTAAGATTAATTCCAACACAATACGGATTTTTATATCAAATAATATAGTTTTTCAATGTGAAAAGTATGAAAGGTACTTTCGAGTCAACAATTGACTTCTTGTGTAAAACATAAAATGAAAAAACAAACGGTGTAGAAATAATGATCAACATGTGTGTGAAGATGATAATAACATTGTTTATTATTTTTGCCATATTTTCTTTTGTAGATTAGTGCGTTCAAAATACATTTGATAAATTCATAGACATTTTTATTGTTTAATTGATTATTTAATATATTTTTATTTTTATTAGAATATAATGTGACGTTTTGTTGCCGTAAGCAAATTTCTTCAGGACAAAAAACAATACAAAAAAATTTATTCATAACTTTAATAGAATGATAGGGAAAAGATAGTAACAGAAATAGACTGGATTGATGAATCATTTTTGCAGCACTATTAAAGCTAAGAAAAAATAAAAAGCTTTCGTCTATTTTGTACTTATTCTCTGTTGTAAAATGCATATAGTTTGGGTTATGTATTGTAAATTTATTGTATTTTTTGTTTGAAGAAATTGTTAAAAGTAACGAAAGGTTATATTATAGTGGAGTAATAAAAATCAAAAATATATTTAAAAAAAGCAATTTAATACTTAAGAATACAAATATCTATGAATTAGTCAATCTTCTTCAAAACAAAAGTATACAGAGAAAAGATTACATATACAAACTTTATATATAGGGTTTTCACAATAATAGAATGTCTCTCTATAAACAAAAAAGAACCTTAATAATTTTATTCTACAGACTAATGATAGAAGCACTTTATCGCTACGCAGGTACACAGTCAATGATGCATGAAAAAATGTCTTTATCTCATTACTTTGGCTGTTGCTATTTTAAGAACATACTCGGAAAAACTATAAAATGTCTGTTCTATAATTATAGAAAAGCCTTGTTAAAAAGACATTTCCGTTACCTATGTTATTCTCGGGTCAAATACTTTCAAATTATAAATCATTAATGAGCCATAATGCATATTCATTAAAGAGATTCAATATATAATGTTTGAATAATAACGTTTAAAATAAAATTGAAGAAAAATTGGAAAGAATTTTCTTTCATAGTATTATTGAATCATCGTGATCAATTTGGAATAAATGATAAAATTTTAAATTTTAAATTTATTAATGGAAACTAATTACACTAACGTAGGATATCTTAGGCTAGGATTCGACATTTTCCTGAATGGATTCGCGACAACGTGCTCTCCAGATTACACACCCACCTCCTCAAGTAGAACTCGATGAGCTTTATCAGATGCACATCTCATCATCCCGAAAAACTTACCCCGCTCCCAAAAAAAACCCTACAAACCTCCAAAAAAATCCTCATAAAAACCAATACGAATCTGAAAACACCGTCGTCATTCGCGCAGACGTGCTCTCCAACAAGTAGACATAGCTCTTCAGATAGATCTCGACGAACTTTATCCAATGAACACATGATTCACTCGATTTGAGAACTCAGTCGAGAAGAAAATCGCTATTAGTGCTTAATTAATTAATTTTTTTAATTAAACACCTCGCGATTTGTTTAGAAGTGATATACAATAGAGAAACACACCTCTCCAGATAGGTCTCAATGAGGTCTATTCGACATATATCATATTTGCCAACTTTGACATTATGATCGTAAAAAATTCTCACACAACACATTTTTTTGAGTTCTTTCCTTTGAAATCGTGTCTATTTTACTCCAAATACTTTTCAACAATATTTTTACGATTCGAAATCGAAGTGATGCACGAATGAAACTCACACAATGAATTAGATACTTTGATGTCAATTAGTAGTGAGACAATTATTAATTTTTTGCTCGATACTATTGGCGGATTTTTTTAAAAATGCTATCCACCATTTTGGGAATAACTCGGCAACGGTAATAGCTAGCGGGCTGGGATTTTCACTATTAGATAGAGCGGCTGGGGGAGCCCATAGCCACATATGAGAAATAGGAATTGGAAAATTTTTCTACCTTTGTTTTCAGAGAAATATCTTTTTTGATACATAACCCTTATGCTCTCCGTAGTAACATAGACTAAAATTACATCAAAATGTAGCCCGACTCTTGCTCTATCTACTATATAATTTTCACATTATTTGAATATTTCCTCGAAGGGTTACATATTTTTTAACATATTGAAAAACACGTGTTTTTACATGCGAAATAGACACAAATTATGCATGAAAATATATGTTTTCATGATATTGTATCTAATGGTATCATCCTTTTCACTTATGGAAGTTTCGAAAACGTGTTTTCTTTTAGAACTATAAATAAACAAATAAGCTGCCAATTGTTTTTCGACAAACTCAAAGAAAACAAAAGTAAAATTCGCATCATGCTTGTGAGGAAAAATAGAAGAATTTATTTTTTTTATAGTAAATATATTCTTCAAAATTTCTTCCTTGATGACTTGTGTGTTCTCTATTCCTTTTTATCGGGCCTAGTAATGTGATGCAGTTCTAGTTAGTATGACATCATAAGTATATATACATCGTAGTATTTTTCTTTTCCTTCTGTTAACGTGTATGAAAAAAGACTCAATAAATTTTTGTTGTTTCGTCGTTTATGTTCAGGTCATCGAAGTGCATTTTGCTCTTATCTGTTCTATACAACTTTGTCTCTCTCTCTCTTGATCTGACTCATAATGATCTGGAACTTTCTTCAATGTAAAAGTTGGTGTATATATACCCACCGCTTTACATGACCAGTTCATTTTACTTAATATCAAACTACAATAAACCTGATTTAAGAGAGTATTCGAAACGAATCATTGAAGAACATTATTCTTTTAAAAATCGTGTGAAGTACTACCGTATTGTGTCTTATTCAAAAAGTTTAAGATGTCTGGCCAAGAATTTTCATTAGAAATGAAGCGATTATTTTTTCGTGTAATTGCGTTTATTGAATCGGAGAAGTATGGTCCACAGATTCCTCTGAATAACACTTTCGAACGTTCTCAAGCTTGTCTCGGAATTTCAATCCGATCGATAACTAATTTAAAGAAAGAGATGCGAGAACTCAATGAACAAGCGGAAGAAACGAATTTGAAAGATTCAGAAGAAGATGAATACTTGTATTCTCTGCGGAGTCGTCAAGTACTTGGCACCCTTTCGTCATCAGCGACTGTTGTAAATATGAACAGCGCAAAATTGTCAGATGTAGCTTCGTTGACTACTACTTCTTATTCTCATCGAGAAAGACATCCACCTATACGAGATACCAGATCTTTTGTCGGTGTTCCAGAGCCGATAGCACCGCAGAAAATCGGTAACGTTGGACGTAAGCCAATCGTATTAAGTCCATTAGGTGAAGAGACCATTCGTTATGTTGTCCACAACATGCTTGAGAAAAAGATATATCCAACAATTTCTACACTTCTTGTCCGTTTGCTCAACGAAAATTCGGATTTTCCCATTCGAACAGAATCTACTCTTCTTAAAATATCGAAAGAAACTGGTTTTCAATATCGACGAACAGCAAAGGTTCCAGCGATTCTTGAGTAAGCTATTATGACATTTCGTAACTAAACATTGATCTTAATTGATCACCTAATACCCACTTTTTCTTAGTTCGATATCGTTTATGGCCCAGCGAGCCACCTATTTTCAAACTTTGGATCGTCTACGCATTAATGACGCTCAGATTTACTATTACGATGAAACCTGGTGTAACGTTGGTGAGGAAAAGGTCTCCATCTGGTTGAGTGATCGAGGGGAGGGTCGTCTACGGAAGAGTAGCGGTATTGGCAAAAGATTAGCAACCTCACCAATGTTATCTGACCATGGAGTTGACAAAGATAGGGTAATTCCATGGGAAACGTACCACTTTATACATGGCTTTCTCAGAATTGGCTCAAACTTTCAGCATTTATAGAGCTCGATGAGCTGATCATTTTGATCATAAATTGTGAAATATTTCATTATGAAATAGGGAAGAAATGACCAAAATACTGTTTTCAGCAATTCTCGAAAATCAATGTCAAAATGAAACGTTCTGTTTTTTATAACGAATTTCTCTCTTTCATTTTAAGATCAAAATGAAACATCTTATACATATTCTGATAGCCTGTGATCAGCTCTATCGAACCATATATGAATCAAAACTCTTCCCCTTTCGAAGAAATATTTTAATAGGACGACAAAACATTTACTGCTACACAAACTTTCTGTCACAATAAAAATCGCCTTTCGAATTTGGGTGAATTCTGGCATAATAGGTTTTGTAGAGCGTCGCTTGCTCTATCTTCTGGTATATACAACTTTTCAGCCGATTTCAATTTTCGTGCGTTAGGGGGTCAAAATATTGATCTACTAGTGTTTTCTGAACTTTGCAGTATATATTTTTGGACTTTACAATAGAAAAACTCAATAAACTAGTCTGAAAACTTAAATTCAGAGAAAACTTAATTAATAGAATAAAAATCATAAACAACTTTATTGACTATTATCTTCTCTTTTATACCTTCCTTTGATAGTAAAATATTACAAGCCAGGTAGGAACCCTTGATTTTTCCAATTTATCCTTTTCCGTAGAAATTACAGTTATATCGTGTTGAGGTAACGTACAGTAAACGCCATAAATGTACCCGAGCTCTTTTCGTTGTTAAACAGCGATCATTGTTCGATATTTTTGCTTCGTTTGATTAGACTAGCTATGCTTGTCATTCAATATAAATAAGGACATTCATACCCATTCTGCTATCGATTTATCAGTTAACAGAAAATAATCTTTTTTTAAAGAAAAAACGAGATAGTAATTTTTTATGAAGGCAGAACTATTTCTCGCATATCCCTAATGATGATATATCACAGTATCTATATAAATCAGTGTATAATTGTAAGATGTAGGCTTAAAAGATATGAAATAGCTGGTGATGAATAAGTTACATATAACCTGGTCAAACCAGAACAACGACACACTATAATTCAATGCATAGTAGTTTAACAACCAATTGATTCCGCCGATAAAATTACATTTAGATGATTACATGAAGGTAGAAAAATTAATAAGACCGCATCGAGAAGAAGATTTCAGAGACTAGTGTACATTCAATGAAGCTGACTTTGAAAACGTTGCTAACAAGGAACGATCTTTTTAAAAAGACTCCAACAGGATATACAACTCAAAGACTGTGACCCAAGTAAAAATATCTGGACATTAATGGAGTTCAAAACAAACAAACAATCGTATTCATAGATGAATAATTTCGTTGAAGGAATACAAAAAAAAGACTGGAGAAACTTAGCTAATCAATTTACAGAAAATTAGGCGAATCGATGGAAAATAGAGTAGCATTGTCAACTGAGAGAAAAGGTGATTATTCTAACTATAAGAATGATGGACATATAATGTAGATTTCATAAATAAAATATAACCAAATATTCCCTTTGTCTTGTTCATTTTTTCTATTGCACCCACTTACGGCGGATACTGTAGGTGTCTCAAGGACAACGTACCTATTTCGAAGAATTTCATTCACCTTTATTTCAACAATAAAACTCGAATGTTTTGCGAACAGAGATGCGTGAAACGAATTAGTGTTACATTTTAATATTAGTTCTCTAAATAATATCAATATTGATATGAAATGAATATATTTGTGTGCTTTAATTCAACTATTCTTTTTTGTTGTTGTTTGATAATGTTAAAGGAAGAGGACTTGAGAGAAACCGTTAAGTCTAACGTACTTCACAGAAAATAAATTGATTCATGATTTGTGATTTTAATTTAATACAACCAGCTTTAGCGGAATGTATTTTATGAAAATGAATACGAACTTCTTTTCAAACATGTTTTCAACAGAATGAAAAGATAGAACCCATGAAAAAGAAGTAAATCATAAGTGCTAGATTTTGCTTGAATTAGATTCTGATGTACAACACATCATGAATCAGTTTATTTTTTGCGAAGTACGTTAGACTTAACGGTTTCTCTCAAGTCATCTACGTTTAGCATCATCAAACAACAATAAAAAAAATAGTTGAATTAAAGCACATAAGTATATTTATTCTCATGTCAATATTGATATTATTCATAAAGAATTAATATTGCAGTGTAACATTGATTTCTTTCTCATATATGACTGTTCGAAACATGTGAGTAACATTATTGAAATGAAGATGAATGAGATTATTCGAAATAGATGAGTAGCCCTTTGAGATACCTATGTTATCTCAATAGGGTATAACTGTAATTTCTATGGAAAAGGATAAATTGGAAAAATCAAGGGTTCCTACCTGGCTTGTAATATTTTACTATCAAAGGAAGGTATAAAAGAGAAGATAATAGTCAATAAAGTTGTTTATGATTTTTATTC